CTTAATTAGGTGTCCTTTGTTACCATAATTAATTGATAATTCAGAGTTTTTTTTTTTTTTTTCTGTCTAGTTACCATAAATTTATTACATTATTACTTAATTAATTATTTTCTGTGCTGATGTAATAAAAAATTATTTAAATTATAAATGTCTTAATTCCACTTTGCACCCTTGAAATATAGCAATTTGCAACTAACCCCCTATGGTTTGGGCTTTGTGCATATTGACCCCTCCTACTTTCAATATAAGCCTATTAACAAAAAATTAAAAATTAAAATCAAGTCGGAACGAAATTTATATGAAATTTGCCAACTTCGAGGGCTACATTAGTTTTTATTAACTCATTAAACAAAGACACACCCGCAAATTGATATTTTTTTTCCGAAAATTTCCAAAATCGAAACAAATTTTTGAATTCCAAAAATTTCGAAATTGGAATAGGATCACACTCAAAGCCAGAGTCACAGTGTTATTTGATATTTTATTTTTTTTTGAAGTCGAAAAGTTGTTTCTCTTATTCATTCGACTTTCAGCCCTAGCCCCTAATTAGTAGTGCTAATTAATTTGAACTTGATTTTTTTCTTTTACAAAGTCAGAAAAACTAATTTAATCAAATCTCTACGAGAAGGAATATAAGACTTACTTATTATTATTTACAATCTAACTAGATCTTCTAATCCAACCAAAAATCGATGAATGAGAATCATAAGTCATGACTATACTTTAACAATAGATAAAATAAATAAATAAAAATTGCAAAAAAAAAATTAAAAAAATTGTATATAGGATTAAATCACGTATCTAACTCTCATTAAAAAATTATATAGATAAAACAAATTAAAGTATATAGTTTATACAATAATTAGACCCACAAAAAAATAAAATTTTCAATTATAAAAAATTTCAATTAATACATCATTCTTGATCAATATCGAACATTCTTGATCTATATCGAACTCGTCGGCATCTCAAATCTGCAAAGCGGACAATAATGGCTAGTCCTCAGCCACGTCTTGATACAATCGCCGTGAAAAATATGCGAACACGGCATCGATAATAATAACACTTCTTCGCCGCTGCCAGAAAAATTGTCTTCCAAGCAAACCGAGCAACGATCCGCAAGAAGCATACTCCGGCGAGAATCGGCGGGCCCCACCTCTTTGAGCTCCGCGATCGATGAATCGGCAGTTGGAACCATACGAAGAGGAGAGTAATCATCATAATTAATAGTCTCCTCGAGATAGACATGATACAACGCGGCCTCGATGTGAAGATTCAAAACACCGTGGCCCGTCGGATCGGCCGCGGCCTCCGTCGCTATCCACTTGCACGCTTTGCGCAAAGCATACGCCGCGATCTGCTTACTGCGTCCAGAACTCATCGGCATCGCTTTGAGTTCTTCCTCCGCGAGTATCCGCGCTTCTTCAAAATTGCACGACAGCTGGCGGCTACTCAAGCGGAGGTGGTATTCTTTTTCGAATTCGATCGATCGGCCCAAAAATCGTGGCTCCTCTCCTTCGCGTACGGCCCACACGAAATATTTGACCGTCAAAGAAAAAGTGAAGTTGATTTCGATATTCGATTCATCTTCCGATTTAGGGATCGGGACGAATTTAGTTTCGATTGTTCTGCAGGCTGATATCTTCCGGCAACCAATCATGGTCGGCATTAAGAAAAGATTTCAAGAGAGTTGGTTTTTTTTTTAGGTTTTTTTTGGGAGAAGAGAGAAATTATATTAGTAACGTTATTGTGAACTATATTTATAAGGTTGGGAAGTATATCTGTTGGATTAATATACGGATGTGTTCCGTATATTAATAGTAAAATAAAATAAAATAAATCAAAGGATATTCCGTTGGTTAGTCATACAATGTAATTGTTTTTCTATTTGTATTTTCCTTGTGTTATAACTTATATTATATATTGACTTGCTAAAACAATTCAGGGTAAATTAAAAAAAAAACCCCTAAACTTAGGCTAAATAACCAAAAATACCCCCACCTATTCCTATTCGTAATTACAAACAACTCCCTGATGTTTGTTTCCGTCTTACACCAATCCCCTTACGGTGTGACTTTTCATGTATTTTTTTTTATTCTTGGGAATAGAGTTTACATAATTTCAGATATTTTCTTTTGTTTCTCACCCATTTAACGGAAGATATAATAGACTGTACTCATTTTTTGTTAAAAAACTCGATCAACAGTTTATCAGAGGGATATTTTGATTATTACGGATAGGTGGGGGTATTTCTCGTTATTTAGCCTATGTTCAGAGGGATTTTCGTAATTTACCCAAAAATTCGCGCACGGGGTGTAACCGGTTTATTTGATGCCACACGCTGTAAAATACACCGGATGATTATTAATCGATGATCTACGTATATATAATTACACACACGTCCATGTGTATGTGTGTCTAGTGGAAAGTTATTTCACCACATTAACGGTTAAAAATCGCCACGATTAAGCAAATATATAAAATTTGTAAAATTGAAAATTTCACACGATTAAGCAAATATTATAACTTCTTCAAAGAGTACTTTTTTTTAGTAAAAGGTGCAATTTTATTCATCAAGATTAACTAAAATAACAAAACCAATGTACCTTATAAAGATTTCTTACGAACTTGTAAATATTTAAAATAAGTAAAAATTATATATGGTTAGCTCAAATATAATGGCTTATATTACATGATCGAAAAAATAACATACTTAATTCTACCCTTGCTAAATAAATAAAAGATTGTAAGAAACAAAGATTTGTGAATTAATACATCATCCATATATATATATACACATCTAACTCGTCGGCATTTCGAAACGACAAAGCGGGCAGTAGTGACTAGTCATCAGCCACGTCTTGATGCAATCGCCGTGAAAAATATGCGAACACGGCATACTTAACACCGCCTCTTTATTACAATCACCGCCATCGCCTCCCGAGAAGTTCTCTAAGCAGATTGAGCAATTATTCATCTCGAGAATATCCCGGCGAGAATATTCCACCGCCTTCAACTTCCGAATCGACGAATCCACCGCCGGAGTCATCATACAAGCAGATTCGTAGTTATTATTTTCCCGATTATAAAAAATATAGTCATGGTCTATCGATACGCACATGTGGACGTTCAGAACTAGGTGGGGCCCGCCTACGGGTTCGGGCAGAATTATTTTGCGCGCTTCGTGCAGCGAATAATTAACCAACTTTCTACGGTTATCGATGCTCAAGGGCAAACCCTTGAGTTCTTCTTCCATGTAATTCCGTGTTTCGTCGAAACTCGAGAATTGATGACCTCTCACGCGGACAAGGTAATCGATTATGGGGTCGTTGAATCGGCTCACGAATTGCGGCTCGTCTTCGTCTTCGTCTTCGCATTGAATATACTCGGAAGTTTGGAGTTCGTAAGAATATTTGAAGTTGATTTCAATCGATTGCGGTGGTGAATTATCGTGAATGGATGTGAATTCCGCTGTAATCAGTCCGTAGGTTAAGAATTCGTAGAACTCGTAATCATACTCATCCATGATTAAGAAAGATTTAAAGAAAAAATAATTAATTAATTAATTAAAGGTGAAATTATTTGGAGATGAAGAATTAATGAAAGATATTACTAAGGTTGATGTGAATTTATAATATTAGGTTAATCCTTGTTGACGTATGATTAGGCTTGTGCCTACGTGTTAAGTTACTATATTTAATTCGTCTTATACCTTTATTAGTAGTAAAATTCCAAAAATAGTTATATTCGAAAAAGGTAATATTTATTAGGAGATGTAATTTCCAAAAAATATGTTATATGATCAGAAAAAGGAAATAAATTAAAATTTGGATTGGAAGATTTACAAACTAAAAAGATTTTGTGCAGCAACCGAATTCTTGAACAATTAGAACACCTTTCCGTGAATAGGAAAACTTTAAATTAATTTTGGTATTATAAAGGGCAAATAGCACTTTACTCCCTGAACTAATGTTATTTTACGAACAATCCTCACCTATAAATAATTGGGTAAATTACGGCCTCTCCCTGAGGCAAGGTCAAATTATGAAGGAAAAAAACATTTTGTTTGCGTAATTACGAACCACCCCGTAATTATGAATTTTCTTACATGTTCACCCTTGCGGTGTCAAATTTAGTGGAATCTTCTAGATTATGTGTAATATTTTCCAATTTGTAATCGTTTTACCCCATTCCAGCTTCACATTTTGAAACAAGATGATCATAAGATGTGTCACTTGGCTTGTAAGTATCAGATTGTGGTGCATCTGAAACTATTTTTTTCTTTTGCACAAAACGAGTACAAACTAGAGAACATTCTACGAAATCTAGAAGATTCGGTTGAATTTGACACCATAAGAATGTACGTGTAAGAAAACTCATAGTTGACGGGATGATTGTAAATACCCAAACAGGAGTGGTTTTTTGTAATTTGACCTATCTCAGGGGCACCGTAATTCACCCTAAATAATGACCAAAAATCCCCTGAAGTTTGTTGACTTCTTACATTGTCCACCTTACGGTATAAACTTTGACGAAATCTTATTTTCGTACTCATTTTTATGTGGAGTTCTATTGTATTTTTTATCATTTAAGAGAGTGTTGATCGTGATCTTTTTAGTATTCGATCGTACAATATAATATAAATTATTTGGATTCGCTACACCTCCCTCTGTTATTTATTTATTTATTTTATTTCTATGAATAAAAAGCTATTTTATCCTTCAAACTACATGTTAATTTTATAAAATAAAAGGTTTTATAGACAATTACATGTAATACCATAATTTAACAGATTTAATACAAGATGAAATCTTACGTACCAACCATACGAGCCCTAACTCTAATAGAACTCTTTAAATATCACAAGACAAAATTCTGGAAAAAATTGCAATAATTATTAAATAAGCAGTTTGAATAATGCAAGAAAACAAATCCAAGAACACAAATAATTTGACTAATTACACACTTATAGACCTAAAATCTCACTAATCACTATCTAATCACCTCGCTAACGGCATCTCGAATCGACAAAGCGGGCAATAATGACTAGTCCTTAGCCACGTCTTGATACAATCGCCGTGAAAAATATGCGAACACGGCATCGATAATAACGATAGCTCTTCTTCACAATCGCCGCGCCCGGAAAAGTCTTCCAAACAAACCGAGCAACAATCCGTAGAAAGCATATCCCGGCGAGAATCAACGGATACCTTTTTCAGCACCTCGATCGACCGCTCGGCGGTCGGAACCATACGATAAGAATCTCCGCCACCGACGTTATTAACTACTTGTAATTCCCACGTAATAACCAAATTTTGATCCAACTCTACCTCCACGTGGAGATTCATATTGGCCGTTGGATTATTATTATTATTATTATTATTATTATTATTATTATTATTATTATTATTATTATTATTATTATTATTATTATTATTATTATTATTATTATTATTATTATTATTATTGAGATCATCAATAAATTTGGAGGCTTCGTCAAAAGCACGCGCCACCATCCGTTGGCGGCGGTTGAGACTCAGCGGCAAACCGCCTCCGAGTTCTTCTTCGACGGACTGTCTGGTATTTTCGGAACACGAGAGCAGCTGGTGGGAGCTGACGTGGACGGAATATTCCTGTCTGGGTATGGTGTACCGGCGCATGGGTCGAGGGTTTTGATCGCCGCCGTCTCGTACGATCCAGTACTGGGAAACTTCTACAGCCAGTGAAAAGTTGAAGGTGATTCCGACGGGGGCGGCGGCGATGGTGGTGGTGGTGGTGGAATTCACATTGATTACTTCGTGCGTGTCCGCTCTGCAACTCAACATCGTGACCGAAAAAAGACTTGTTACGTACTATAAACTATTTAGGGTTTGTGGATAGAATTAAATATCTGGATTCCTATTTATATATATACTATATATATATATATATATATATATATATATATATATATATATATATATATATATATATATATATATATATATATATATATATATATATATATATAAATAAGGTAATTTCCTTGGAGAATACGATAGTGTTGCTGGTTCTTTAGTTGTTAAAATTGCATGAGTTAATTAATATCCCTTTTCCTAATACTATACAAATTGGGAAATTGCAACCGCGTTGTCCTTATTAGCTAATAATAATAAATAAAAATAAAAGGTAAATTACTGATATACCCCATCAGGTAAGCCTAAATAACTTGCAAATTCTTGTGGTATTGGTAAATTATAAATAGCTCCTTAAGCTAATTGCGTATTAATTATAAATCCTAACGGAATGAATGAGTTGTCTAAATTACACTTTTATTAAACAAACAAATTATGGATATACCCTTGAGGTAAGACAAAATATAATATTTGCACCTCGGTATATTACATTTACCTCCTTGGGTAGATTTGGAAATTAATATCGAATAGTGTATGGATTCTTCACGATTCTGTTAATCGTAGCTTTGTAAGGCTGTAAATGTTAGACAAAGCAGTAGTTGAGGGGAGTATTTGTAATTATCGATATCACATGGGTGTGTAAGTTATTTAGTCATACATCAGGTGTTCCTCCACAATATACCCTAATAAAGATAAGGGATTATTAGATGGAGGTCCCTCAAAAACTTTGGTACTGCTTAAAGGTCCTCTAGTTGGATTTTAGTACAATTCAAAGGCCCTGGAGTGCTTTAATTGGGTTATATGGGCGCTGAACAAACAAGTTTACTCTTTCGTGCGTTCTTTGTCGAACTCGCAGAGAAGAAAAGATTAAAAATCGAGAGAGAAAAGCACACACCTATACACTGACATGCTCCTGATCGAAGCGGAAAAAGAAGTTTTATTCGCGTTTACGAAATTTTTTGTCCTCCGAGTTCGTACACTAATAAACATACTCCCTCAATAAATAATCAAATGAACTGTACATCTTTCCACCATTCCTTTTTTTCGAGGTTGCCCATGTTATACGCAGATCACTTGTACATTTCGCCATACGAGCAAAACCTATCCCTCTATATATCGGTAAACATCTAAGTAACAATTAAAGTACAACTGTAAAAAGATTTAAAAGAAAAAAAAAAAAAAGGAGAGGTCAAAACAGAAAGAAGAAAGAAAAGGTACACATGTGATTATCTCCCACACAATCTTCGAGACTTGCGACTGTCACAGCATGGCAAAAATTTGCTATAATTTACATCCGATCCGACAGCCAATCAGAAATCAGAGTTCCACTTCATGAAGATCGTCGCCCGAACAATGCATACCCAATACCTCTCCGAGTGGTTTCACTTCAGCACTTTGAGGAGCGCTGAGAGAATCGTTAAGTATTCCACTCCATGAAGCTGTACGCCTCGAGTGTACAGGAAAAGAGCCATTACTAGAATTCCTCTGTTCCGAGATTTGATTTAAGCTCGCGTTTCTTTGCATTGTCATTGAAGATGAAGGTGATGTTGAGTTGAATGAATCTCTTAAATTTGAGACTGCAGGATTTTCGTAAGACGTCGAATTGTTTTGCGTGTCATTTATTACAGAAGCTTCCACTGGCTGCTGCTCAACTGGAGATACTGCACTAGGTACGAAGAATTTCGGATTCGCCCCAATTGCTGGTTTATTAATTGGAGGAGCAGAAGGTGACTGAAATAAATTCGTCGAGTTCCCACCACTTTGGTTAAAGGTGTCGACGTACCTAGGAAGTGGACAAGTTAAAAGATCGTAAGAATGCCACTTCATATTTTCATAGTTTCTTAGTACAAAATTCAAGATAAGAATGCCGTAATTCAAGACGTGATGAAATTATGAAATTGATGGTTTCGGTTTTTACCTAGATCGGACACCCATTCTTCCACGTGCTGAGTATTGATTGGAGGTGGGAGGGAGTGGTGGTATTCCTGGATTATTATCGAGAACATTTGGGCTTTTAAATTCTGGGCTGCCATTACCATGATAAGCTCCGCTTTGCATCGCACTCTTCAAATTGTAGTCTGAAGTTCCATTCTGAAAAGCTGCAGCTGTTGGTGGTGGTGGAAGGGCTGCTTCTTCCGCCGGTGGTGCAGCACCTTCCTCCACCCACCTCTTCAGTTTATCGTCATAATAGAACTTATTTGAGTCACCCAATTTTGCCTATAAAATAATGCAACCATAAGAAAAAAGCAGCGGTAAATCTTCTCTGTCAAAATAAGAAACTTCATTAAACTACCTGACGGCCTTGACGGGGTTTAAGTACTAATCCTACAGTCTTCTGCAAAAGCTGAGACCCGAAACCAAAACGACCAAAGCGAGAAGTCCCACCTGCAGCTGATGCTTTGTCTTGCATGTTTGTGGGAGTTGGCTCCTTCAAAGAATCAGTATGACTCTTCACGAATTATATAAAAAAAAAAAAAATCAGATATTTTTTTTTATAACCGTGTAACGTCAATTAATTAATAAAAAATAGTATGAATGAAGCACATAGGTTAAATTGAAACAAACCTGTCTTGGACTTCTTCCGAAGTCAGGCTCTGAAACACTTCTTGTGTGCATTGCCATTTTGTTGTAATTAGCTCCCCACTCATTTATGGGCTCCACCGATTGAGAAGGCACTAATGACGACATAGCCATTGTCGACTGGCTAGCTGATACCCTATGTCCAAGTGTTTGTTGATTCTCATAACCTTGTCCAGTACCACCTGCTGTCGGCACTGGTGGTGGTATACCCCCAACAACTCGATGTGCAGTACTATCGAAAAGGTTAAGCAATTTACCGACCAATTTTTTAGGAGCTAAATTTGTCGAGAATCCACCCTGCATAAGAAAGAAGTTTCAGTGACCACTGTATTTTATAAAATAGGAAAACGGACACAACCAAGGGGAGAGGGAGAGGGGGAGAAAGAGATACCTGTTGATGAGTTTTGATCCTTTCCTCAAGTGATGAAACTAAGTTTCTTAGTGTCTCCACCTCTGATGTTCGACCAGTTTTAAGAGATTTTAGTACTGCTTGACAGTACCTATACATTAAACAACAACATTTACGACACAAACGCAACGTTTAAAAGATAAATGAAAGTAGTAGTAATGTGAGTACTTTAATGCCTCTGATATCCTCCCAACTTCTGCCAACATTTGTGCATATACAAGCTTATATGGTTGAAATGGAAGTAGAACGAACTGAGGGTTCCCAAGCGTTATGGAATACTCGTATATTTCTGTCCTCTGTTCAAATATGCACCAATGAATTATGCAGTTAGGCACTTTACCAGTGTACAAATAAACAAATAATAGGTTTACTGCATCCCGCCTCCAAAGCAGATCAGTAGTCATAGGCAATATAAAGCATAATGGGCTTGAACATATCCAATTACATTCATCACTCAAAATATTTCGTGACAAACATTAAACAGTTCGAAACAGTTATACCCACACAAACACAAATGCAAGACCTCTAGGAGTATTATTTTTCAAGTATTATCTTGCAGCAACAATCATTAAACCTCATGGAGTCTAAATATATTAGAACCGAAACATATACAATGAACATTGAGTTGTAATGCTAAGTAATTTACGAAAAGTAAAAGGAAGGTGAATACAGAGTAGGACGTACTTATTCATGATATTCCATGTTTATCTGATGTTTAGTATTTTTTCATTTTCTTTATTTACATGTAATTTCTGCAAAGTGGCCTAGGCAGTCATTTAGGCATTTGAAAACTAAAAAGTAAAGTATGCATGACCACTCATCAATAACTCAGCCTAAACCTGAATAGCCTCTGGACTGGCATAAGTACGTGGGAATTTCCAATGGTCTGCACCAACAAGACACATTCTTGCAGTGTCTGAATATGGTTCGAAGCTTGCTTCCCCGACCAAATAGCATATGTGAGCAGCAATTATCTGAGTAAAAATCATTCCAAAAATTAATAACTAAAACATTAGACGGGATCAAAGGAACCCTCAAGAATAGTGAAAGATTTTCAGGACAATTGACAAGAACATACATCACTTCTATCCTTCCATAAACAATCTCCAAGATGCTTAAGCACAAGTTCATCGTCCTTTGTTCTATTAGCAGCGATGACTGCCAAATTCTCCTCCCAGTCATCCAGCAACCCATTGCCACCAAACTGTGAATGGAGAAAATGAAAAATGGCAAAACTAATTACTTTAAACTTCTGAAAGAACTTCCTCGTAGCATACGAAAGAGAAAGGAAGCTGTATCTTAGGAAATCATCAAGTAAATCCTCATGCAGTATTTTACAATAGCACCTAAAGACCATGTCACATAAATCACAGCAACAAGTATTGTAGGGAGCAGGTGAAGATTCGTAACATAACAAACATGCACTTCATACCTGTGCAGGTTGCAGAGGCATATTTACAGCAGCAGCCGTGGTACCAGCTGAAAATACATCAGCTGGTTGACCAGCAATTAGAAGGCATAATGTTCGCAAAGGTGACCCCGCTACAAACTGGCTAAGTGCCATCTGCCTAACAGTTTCAGCATAGAACTGCAAAGGTAAGAAAGTTAAAATTAAATATATGAAAACAAGCCATGAGAGGACTTCATATATTTTCTTTCTATTATCTAGAGAGAGATGGGACGTTTATATTGAAAAACCTGATCACCAATCTGGGCAGCAAGAAGAAGAGCAGGACCCCACAATTGACCCTCTTGTGCACATTGTAAAGCCTCTTTCTTTCTTCCAGAGACAAGAAGACTTTGAACCTCCGTAGCAGTTACCTAAAACATGGAGGTCGGTTCTTAACAAATGATTGCATTACTAAAAAAATGCAAATTTTGCAGAGAGCACCCTAAATACCTGCATTTGCCCTTCAGATGGCATTTGCTGTAAGCATTGGGCAACAGCACCATATTGATTGAATTGAGACCCACTTCCTTTTGCAGATGCAAACAGCCTAGCAACTGCTGATTCTGGAGCATCACTTTCCTATAGGATATCAAAGAAAGTTAAACTAGAGAAAAAGCTTATTTACTGATACCGAGGTCAAGGCGCCCAAGAAAAAGAAAACTGTTTCCAGAAAAGCATAATATAGTCAAAATAGGAATGTAACACATATCTATCTTATGCATAATATATTTACAACGTAAACCAACATATAAAACATGTCTACCTTCAACTTAGCTTCTGCACCATAAGGAGATCGGAGTTTTCCATAATGCTGAACAGCTATTTTAAGCAGCGAGAGAAGCAACCTCAAAACTTCAGCGGTTCTATAGTCCACATTCGCAGATTCAATATTTGCAATTCTCTCGTCAATCCATTTGTTCAACTCTTTAGTAACACCTCCACCACTAAGAGGACCTGGAGTGCATTGTTGACAAAGAGCCTGGAAATAATTGCTACCGCCCTTTCCCTGGCTTGAAGCATCAGCATTCTGATTAACAACTTCTGCTAAGTTTAGAACTGATATTGAGCTTCCTACAGGGTTCTTCACAAAGAATTCAAAACCTTTTAGTATGTAATATAAGTAAGCTTTGATAAGAAACAAAAAAAGATGGCTTCGACACAGACCTGGCTTCCAAAGCTCAAATTTTCAGTAGAGCTGTTATCTTTCAGCACAATGAGCTTTCCACCAAAACCGAAAGTAACCAGAGCATGTGCAGGACGACCTGCAGATGACCTTCCAGCAGCAGGAGAATAGGAGGTTTGAGCAGTCTGAATCTGTTGCTGAGAAAAGCCGACTGAATTCTGGTTCTTGTAGTAGTCATTGGAAACATGATATTGGTCATTTTGATTAATTCTTGAATCATTGTAATGCTGACTCAAATTCCCACCAACAAAACTTTGTGACCTGTTAGGCGCGGAAAAATCATGTTGACGTTGAGTTGCATTCTCATGGTATGAACCTGTAACCCCGTAGTTAACAGTATCTTGTCCATTTCCATGACCTCTTGCAGAAAAGTTCTGTCCACGGTGGTCTTCCACTGGTTGGTTTGCTCTATACTGTGAAGTAGCATGACCACTGGCAAAATTATTAGGTTGCCACATGCTTGGGCTCTGTTGAATATTGTTGGCTACTGAACCAGCCCAGTTCTGATTTTGCACTTGGCTACCAAAGCTTTGGGCATTATTACTAATACCTTGTTCATGGGCACTGTACGTCTTGTGATTATCATTTTGATAAAATGTATCAGCCGATGCATATCCACCCAGATTTTTCTTCTCCTCAACATGAGGAGTAGACTGGGTTGATGCATTGTATGATTCCAAACTGTCCCATTTCTGGGCAATGGTATCATAATACCAACCAGGGTACTGAGGATCAAACACCATATGAGGTGGGTAACCATTGTTTTCCTCAGAAGCCTGATTCCAATCTGACGAAACGGCGGTGGTGCCTCCACCACTCACTTGTGAAGCCTGATTCCAATCTGACGAAACGGTGCTGGTGCCGCCACCACTCACTTGTGAAGCCTGATTCCAGTCTGACGAAACGGTGCTGGTGCCGCCACCACTCACTTGTGAAGCCTGATTCCAATCTGACGAAACGGTGGTGCCGCCACCACTCGCTTGTGAAACTTGATTCCAATTTGTTGCGGCTTCTGTGGTGTCACTCGCCTGAGAGGCTTGGTTCCAACTAGTAACACTCTCATTTCTACCAACCTCAGCCACGGTACCCTGTACAGATTGAGCAGTTTGCTGCAAGTAAGACACCTCGGCTTGCTCTTTAGTCTGCTGCCCCCAAGAAGAAGATGAATTAGAATCGACATTTGTTTGCACACTTGTTGCATCATATCCATCTATCTGATACCACTGTCCGGTACTTTGATCATACCTCCAACCCGGATACTGGCTCTCCCAGTACTGACTGCTATTCAAATCCTGCACACCTGAACTCTGATCTGCTGTTGTATCGTAATTATACAACTCATTATTCTGCTGCCCAAAGTTGTTGGTGGTGTTATCCACGTACGAAAATCCAGCTACATCATTTCCGATAGTGACATCTGGCCCATTAGCCAGATTATTCTCCGCCACATTCCCAAATGCATCACCAGCATTTTCTCCACCTAATTCGGTGAAAAACTCCGAGTAAGATCCGAAGCCACTGCCTCCGTTTTCGGCCGGATCAGAATGAAAAGCACTCCATCCCACTTCCTTAACTCCTGGAGCCACAGATTCATCGCTGCTCTTACTCACAACAGTTGCATCAGATAAGCCCTCACCGCTACTCTTGCTCACAACTGTGGTATCGGACAAAACTTCAGCACCCCCATCTTCAGTTTCTTGGTGCTGCATCAAATTGTCAAACTCGAACGAATTCGACGAAACTAAATGGTTTACGATTTCCTTCATGGGTTCCAGTTCTTCAAGATGTTCGTGTTTATCTGCCTCTATGCTTGGATCATCAACAATGGTATGGTCACTACTGCCAGCCTTCTCGTAATTAACATCGGTGCTACTATCAAGGTCGTTGATGCTCAAATTGGCGAAGGCTTTAGCCTCGTCGGATTCATTCCCGTCCGACAAAAAGGGTACCGATGAAGATTCGGTGTTGACCTTAAAATCCAAGTCGTCATCATCACCATTCACTAACTTATCAAAAAAATCCTCGTCTGTATTATCCTCCACCTGGAATGGAGGAGGATTCGAAGCCATAAACTCAAACCCTCGCCTCGAATTGAACTGAGCTCCCTCACCAAATCCGCAGCCGCAGATTCCAAACCCTAAATTGATTCGAGCTAACACCGATCAGATCCAACAATAAAATCAACTTAATCCAACAAGTACGAAAACTGAATAAATCCAAATCGAGAAAAAGATCTACGGTTTTCACATTTATCCCAAATTACAAATCACAAAAAAAAAAAATCAAAATCAAAATTCTGCAGAATTTTAACTTAATAGACGCGTAGAATGAAATCAAAAATCGAAAATTCGTGCGGAGGAAGTATTCAACTTACAGATCAAAAAAAAATTGAATTTTCCGGGATCGAATCAAACGTTATAGATACACATCTGTTTCGTATGTATACAAGGAGAGAGAGAGAGAGAGAGAGAGAGAGAGAGAAGAGAGAGAAAGAGAGAGTGCGTGTGTAAACTGAGAGAAAACAAGACCTCGATCTCGCTACAGATGTCTCAACGACCCACCCAGAATGTGATTTTCGTTTTTCCCCCAAAAAACTTATTTATATTTTTATTCGTTTTTCCCCCAAATTTATATTTATATATTTATCTTTTTTCGTTTCAATATTGTTAATTTTTTTATTTTTTCTATTATATTAATTTTAGATTTCCAGTCATGTAAATCTAGGGGTGTTTATTCGGTAAAATCGTATCAGAATTTCAGTAAAACCAAAATTCTGGTACCCCAAAGTTTCATACCATTAACAGAACTGAAATATAAGGTCCGGTTCGATAAATAATCGAATCATCGAAAATATATTTTAGTAAAACATATTAATATTACATATAGCATGACCGAATATTCGGTTCGATACAGTTCGGTCGGTTTACCAACTGGATGAACCGTCCTATGTAAATATGTAGCTTGGCTTCTTTAATTTTTTAATTTTGAATATTAGTCATTCAACTTGCAATATTAAGATAAGTTTAGTATCAAAATTTAGACCACTAGAACTTCATTAAAAATAATATTTTTCCTAAAGTTTTGACTCAAATATTAAGAAATCTAATAAATATATATTGGTTTCCAAAGAAAAAAAAAATACTGAATAGGATTAACGTATTCATCGAATTATATTTTTTTATTAGTTACTCTACACTTGTGAGGATTATATTATTTGATTGAGATTACTAAGGTTAAATATGGAAAAGGTAATTAATTCACTATTCCTATTCTAAAGTCGCTGGTAATATGAAACCAAAGAAATTCTGCAAGAACGACAGTCAATTTAAAACGGGTTAAGTAATTTATAATCAATATTTATTACATTATGTGTAAGGATCCTTAACTAGATTTGTCCATTGAATACATATATATATATATATAAACTATCTTGTAATAAAATTCAGTTTTATCTAGTAAGTGTCATCATTCGTTACTTTAATGAAACTTTATTCCAAGAAGATTACGTAAATACTCCACCCGAATTAAAATTAAAGTGATCTATGGCACCCTAATTACGGGTGTAAACGGTTAGTGAAACCGAATGAATAGTTGTTCAAGCTTATTTGAATATGTATTGTGCTTAAAAGTTGTATTTTAGTTTGGTTTCATAAACAATCGAATAAAGTTTATACGAATTTTAATCGAGCTGAACACAAAACGAGCCTTTGTTCGAACGGGGCTTCATATTTTATCAAACGGAAATATGTGTTAAACTTGAGATCAAATGAATTTCTAATGAACAATCTTAAATCAAGTATCGAGTAGCTTACAAAAGCAACTGTGCATTATTTATAGTACATTAAAAGAAGTGAATATTCACATTATATCAATAATAAGCTTTTATATTTATTGAGCAAAAAAACAAAGTTGTAACTAGTAAAATATTTTTTTTTTTGTCACGAATACGATGACAATAAAGAAAAGCTTATATTTGCCAAACACTTCCAACATCTTATAAAATCAAAAAAATAACTTAAAAAGTTATAACTAGTAAAATATTTTATCAATATGTAGGAGCTTTTAATATGATTTTGATATTTTATCAAAATCAACAGAATTCAAAAATTCCAGTTTCCAATTCACATATGACATTAAATAAATAATCCAAATTCAGAATTTTAAAATCAAATAAAAAAGAAAAAGAATTTCAAAGTCCAAAAATAAAAAAATCCAAAATCAATTTTTTTAATCAAATTAATTCCAATTTGCACTCCTACTTTTATCCAATTAATTCAACCACTTGAAAATAACTAAATTCCCATTTAATTGTTGCATTAATCAATTAAATGTAAAAGCCTATCACAATTCACAACCCTCTGCATATTTTTTAGTTCACACAAAATGGTTGGCTTGAACAAAAGGTTTTCGCCAAAGGCACGCAAAAACTCGATACGGATAACAAGTCAACAAATAACACATAAACTATCATGTCAAAGAAATTTAACTCATCCGAAGAAGTTCTACATGTGAAAATAGGATCAATTTCAAGAAATCGAAAAAGTCAACGAAAAGTCTCTTCTCACTGTTCGCTGGGCAATGACTTGATGATGTCCGAATCACCTACATTGTGTCAACAAGCAATCGATAAAATCACTATCGGTTCTATGTTTCCATGTAATAAGTAAAAAAACATTCTATAATATAAATAGTACGGTACCTGGATCAACAATGCTGAGGCATGAAACTCGAAAGTACTTTCCGCAAGCAGTTCCCAAATCAACGTTATCTATCCACAAGTTTAAGATGATTGCGAATCAAAACAAGATTTCAAAACCAAGTACTTTAGAAATAGAACTTGAATTACGAGTTTCCGTTTCACAAACTCGAGAGGTATACAATACATACAGCCATATATTCATAATTATAAATGTTACCAAATTGAGGGTTATATTTGTCATTAGATTCATAACGTGAGAAGTATTACGATAGTGGATACTATATGAAGCCTTCTTTGGATCAAACGAATCACTTGATTATGTTATGCGCCACAAAAATCTACGGAAAATAACTTCAGTGATAAATTTAATCGTTAATATATAGCAAAATATCAACAATTATTCGACCGTATTTTAAGCACCATCAAACCATGTGGCAAAACGAGCGGATACCAAACCAGAGTATAAGTTGAACATGCATTATTACTAAAATGCCCACCTCGTATTTCTAGACTTGAATGTAGTGTGGGAAAGGTACAACATTGTGATTACCGAACCGAATTACGAGTAAAGAAAATAGCATTATCACTAAAATTTCTGCTTCGTATTTCTAAATGCACACAATTATCAAATGAATGATTTGGATTAGCACAATAAACCTAATCTCGGAATCAACATGAAAACTAACTAAAACATAAATAAACACGAAAACAGGAAAAACAAAATCATAAAATCAGCTAAAAATGAGTTCACTCACTTCCATTGTAGTGATGAACACCAACTTTGGAGAGCATGGCGTAATACTCGATCTCCGATTTTCTCAACGGCGGGCAGTTGTTCGAAATTAGAATCAATTTCCCTAAAATTATCAAAACCCCAATTCATAACAAAATTCAAACCATCAGAATCATATTCAGGTACATACATATTTCAAAATTAAGCTTAAATCTCAACAAAATTGACTTTTTTTTTTTGAAAATTTGAAAGAAATTACCTTTTGAACTGCGGAGAGTTTTGAGCACGGTTTTGTAACCAAGGGTGAATTTGCCGCTCTTCATCACCAGAGCCAATCTGTTGTTAATGCTCTCATGAGTCTTCTTCTGTACAGATGAAATTAACATTTGAATCAGTTAAAAAAAATCAGAGATTTACGAAATTCAAGAGACGAATGAACCACACGAGCGGAGAGATTCGTACAGTTTTCTTCGCCGCCACCATTTTGATAGTACAGCTACGGTTTCGCCGCCGCACAAAGAGTGGAGAAATCAGAAATGTAACCTAATGAGGCGTAGTTTAGCACCGCGGCGCAGTATACAGTGTGGGGACGAGTGGGGGTGGAGTTCTTATAAGTGGTGAGTCCCGGGTAAATTCCGGTTTTAACCCTCAGCTAGTCAGCTTGTTTCATTTATTTGTTTTTTTTGGTTTAATCATTAATGTAATATATATTTCAAATATTTCTACATATTAATATATTTCAAATATATATTTTGGGATGTGATAAATGTCGTTCGAACTTTAATAATACCGTTACAATTTCAAACTTGATTTTGATCATTTTTAATTCCAAATTTTGCAAAACCTGAAAAATAGAATTTGCAGTATTCTGAGTTAGTTTTCTAATCCAACTTGAATCACCAAAATTGGATGTCGGACGAGAAAGATATACATGAATCAATGGATCCTGAATCAATGGATCCTGCCCACAACTTTGATGTATTGAGATATCTAAGAGGGTGTTTGGCTAAGCTTATTTTAAACAGTTGATAAGTTCTTACGTCTGATAAGATGTTTTAAGAGCTGATAAGCTGTTGCATCTTATTTTTAGGATTAATTTTTAGAGTGTTTGGATAATAAGCTTATTTCCTATTTTTACTCGTTATAAGATCTTAAATAAAAAGGTAGGGTAGAGGTACTTATTTAAAAAGATCTTATTTGCTCTCCAACAGCTTATTTTAAAAAAATTACCAAATAGTTTGAAAGAGCTTATAAGCTTTAAAACATCTTATACGCTCCTTTTAACATTTAACATTTCAGATATAATTTTTACCAAATTTTATGACCATAAAATACTATCTCAGTTGTAAACTAAATTTGGGAATTCCATGTTTTTTTTCTCTGAAACTGTTTTTTTCATCATTAATCTCAAAATTAAAATTCTATAAATTAAAATTGTTAACCTACAAATTGAGAGCTTATTTGGGGGATGTCGGTCTCATAGACGCTACACGAGATGAAATATATCAGATAACATATTACTGTAGATTTACACATAATATGCATGTGCGCAAAATATGTATACATACTAATACATTGCAGATATAAAAGTTATATATATATATATGAAGCAAAGGCAAAAACAAGAAGAAAAAAATGTAGAAAATCTCGAAGTTAACAAAATTATAACGAGTTATCAAACACCAAAAAAAAAAAAAAAGCTTGCTTTAATGTGGTACCAGACCTGGTAAAACCGAGCTTAACTAGCTTTACTAGACATGTGAACATAAGTTATGGAGTGTAGATGATGACACACCCTCTTTCAAGATTAATAGTATATATTTCATTCACTTTCTTCGTCGCTTTCTTCTAATTGTAAGTGATTCATATTTCTTTCGAGTGGAGGAAGCCCATCTTCAGAACCGCTTGATAATCCATCATCTTCCTTGTTAGAATTCTCTACTGAAAATGCAACGCAAAAAGGCTCGTATTTAAACTCTTTTATTCATTTTTCCCCAACGTACATATATACATACATACATACATACATACAATATTTTTCAATTTCTGTTAAAAAGTTCTTTTTACGGACCGTTAGTTGGAGAGGGGGGTTAAATGCAATTTCGGAAACAAAAGTATTAGAGAACTACCTTTTGTATTGGTGAGCTCGTTTGGAGGTGGCGATTTTTGCTGCGAAAGCCACTCGTTTTGTACCGTAATCATCTCAGCACCAGTCGGGCATTGAGAGTATGCCTTAAGAAGTTCCTTGTTCAGGGACAAGAATGCATGGCCCCACTTGAATTTGCTGAGCAATAGATTTCCAGTTTCTTTCTCTCCACTATTTGAAGCAAACAAATTAAGTATCGAACAACCGATTTAATGAAATATTACAAGATTAATCATAAATCGTAAACCAACTAAGAAAAGGAAGAATGTTTAATTGGGTGCATGCAACATAACCCTTTTTTTTTCAATATACCCAAAATAACTAAAAGTTATACGGATTCTCGAACATGGAGTTAAAACATAAAATTGAAACTGCAAATGAACAAGAAGGGAATGAATATGATTTTGATAATCTTATTTAAGAGCAAGTAATTATAGAGATGAAAGGATGGCCATGTAAAAGGCTCGGGTTTAGTACCATATGATCAAAGCTGCAGCCAATGCCTCAACACATGAAAGCTGACAAGGACGACCGTAATTTACTGGATTTGCGGCTACCAAGCAAGGTACTGTAAATCACGTACATTCATGAGAATAAACAAATTATAGGAAGAAAGCAAAGCAGAAAATGCAAGTAAAATTATAACTGACATTGAACATGATAATACCCATATATTTAAAAAAAGAAAAAAAAAAACCGTAAAAGGAAAAAAAGGGGAAAGCCATTTTGAAGACATTTCTCAACAATCTTATAAATCTCGTACTCATTGAATCGTTTTTAGGTTTATCTCTTTCATGATGGTTTGCCTGTAAAGCTTTTCGATGGTTGCAAATTTCTTTCTCATTCTTTTTTCCTTTACTTCGTCGGAGAGAACTCAAGCCAAACATAGTTATTCACATATCTTACGTCTTTCTCCCAAAAAGTAAGCATCCAAACACCAAAAAGCAGTAGCATGGAAGCCAGAGATTTTTATCAATTACCACATCAGTTAACTTTCTATTAATTAATTAAAAGGTGACTATAACAAACCAATGTGTAAAACCTATAACATACAAACACACACACACACACACGCACACAATTTTCATCGGCATGACAAGCTAGTCTACCGGGACCACTTCAGGATTGACGAGTCAAAGAGATCATCAAACCTGAATCTCATCCATTAATTTTCAGATTATAAACGGCAGCCCAAATTCTTAAAGACTTTTATGTGCAGCATATTGATAATGTTCCATAGTTTATGATCCAAATCAAATCATCGAAAATACATAGTAGTTTGATATGCTTACAAAGACGAGGAGCGACACACCGCAGCTTTGTGAAGGGCACATCCTCTAGACGGGCCCACGAGCAATCGACAACAGCTAAACCTCTTCTTTTGATCAACTCAAGATCCTCTTGGGAGACACATTGTTTTCCAGTGGGACTGAAACAGTGTGAATATTACGACAAGTAAATCCAATAATGTATGTTCAGCACAAAGCAAAAAAAGTTTTAAATATACAGCACCAGACATGTAACGAAAAATGTGCATTTCTCTTAATTTGAGTTAAAATAAACAAAAAAATATGTAAACTCAAACTATTCAGGAAAACCATCGATTGCTCACGTATTGCTAAATTTCCGTACTTCCAACTTATGTATATATTTCCAAGTTTTGACAAATCAGAAGCACGCCTACCGAGTGTGGCTCTAAAGTCACGAAAGAAACAATAAATTCATTCCTTAATTTTGTTTTAATGCCATAAACCACATATGAGACAAATATATGATGTCTATAGGAAACAATCTTTACTAGAAATCAACAGCACAACACAAGATGCAACATTAAACAAGAGGGCAAAATCATCACACGTGTAGCTAATAAACAGTCATACTGTAATTACCTCAAAACAACTCCGCCAAATCCACTATTAACCCGCAATTCCTGATAAAAAAAAAGGTGGTACTCAATAGAAAATTCTAGATAAAAAAGCAGTATTTCCTTGTCGAAGTGATAAGCATGACAAATAAATTATTTTGCTTATATGAAAATAATGTTCAAGCCATCAGATAATTTCCTTTATCAATCCGAATCTTGCAAGCTTGCGTCCCGTGCACCTCTTTGCATCACATTGTCCAAAATCCTGAATCCAGAAGATCGTTAATTTAGAACGACAATAGCAATGCACAAGTAAAACCAAGAACCATAACCAAATCCCCAATTAAATCAGGTCTTTAAATTCATTCCATCCAAGAAATATGTTTACATGTATACTTAGATGAGTCGCAAGACATATGAAAGTCAAGAACTAAGAAAAAGACCAAAGAACAAAGGAATTAGAAAGTTTACATATCTAAAGAGAGCATTTTTTTTCCAGTACAAGATTTCTGAACTGATTTTGGAAAATCATAGATTACATCATATGACTAAATGAATGAGAAAAAAATCCTTACACAGTTCCACCAGAAATAGATCAACTTATCTTATAAACGATAATTAGCAGCAACTTAATACTATCAGATAAAAGAACTAAGAATCAATATGTATAGATTAAAGAACACGAACACGTACCCACATCGCGAGCTGAATCGCAGGAACTTGTTGCTCTTCCTCCTCCTCAGCTGCTGCTAAAACAATGTCGAAAAAAGTTAAATTTCCCCCCAACACAAACTATGGTTCAAACTACGCGTGTTTGCTAATAAAAATAGCATAACACAATTCATCAAACACCTAGAGTGCATGACTCAAACAAAGCACAACAACACAAGTAAGCACAAATCGGCAGCAAAACATGTACCTGGATCAGTCGGCAAAGACCCATCATCTTCATCCCTGATTAACGTTCAAGCCAGTTAAATATTCATAATTAAAACATGGAATTAAAAAAATTGAAATTCGTCTAATTTTTGAGAAATTCGATTGGTTGTAATACAAGTACATGCCTGTAGTTTGATTGCCCGTGGGAAGTGGGACGGTGGTTATCTTTCTTGAATCGGCCATGCTTCTGCTTGCTGCTGTGACTCATGTTCGGCGTTCTTTATGGGATATGTATTGCCACCGCCGGTGGTACCAGTCGGCGTGTATATATATTTTTGGGTTTTGTTTTGCAATTACCACCCTTGTGTAATTTCGAATTGCTGAAAAGGTATGGTGTTAAAATAATTACCACAAACGCCCCTGTGAAAATTAGTGAAAGGCAAAAGGGACCCTACGAGATCGAAAGACCTAAGTACCCTTCAAATTAATTTTTAAAAAATTACAGATTCATCCCAGATTTTTCATAAGCCCAAACTGAAGTTTTTCATAATTTTTAATTTAATCCCTAACAATTTTATAGAAGCCCTTTCTCTAAATCAACCCAAATTCTATCACCATTTATTTTCTTGTCACTTGAATTCAAGTTCAAAAAAGCAAAGTACATCAACATGTTTTTTTCCACGAAATAAATCCTAATGCAAATCCAAACATTAACTTGCTCCAACAAAAAAAAGAAGCTCTAAACGGGAAGCTTACGCGCCGCCTTCTATGGCACGGTCAATCTCTGAAATCGAAGATCAGTGTTGGACTTGAGACCTAAATAGTTTGATATAACTGGCCCAAGCCCACTCTCTTGGCAGCCCATTTTCTTGGAATCAAACCACCACTTAAGCTCAAGTTCGATTAAAACCTCCGGCCTCTCTCAGCGCCGCTTCTCTTCGTTGCTACCGTCACCATTTAGTTCTTTTTATTTTTTGCCAAAATAGAACGATCTATTATGGTTGTAGCTTGTATATGTTGAGTCGTATCGTTAAAATAATAAATATATTATATATTTAATTATTGATTTAATCGGGCCAGACTTTATTTGAGCTGAGCCCTAGTATGCTCAATCTTGACTCATAAATGACTAAATGAGTCACTTTAATAAATTGACTGAAACTCGGCCGGACTCATTAAAATTTAGGCCCGACTCAAATATAATCGGGCCGAACCATGAGTTAAAATCGTAGTTTCATCAAGTATCGCTTTATTAAACAATTAATTAATCGCTCTCCCGGAAATTTTCCCTTTTATATTAATTCCGCCCCTTTCATTTTTTCATTTGATTCGTCATCCTCAGAAATCCGAATACAAAATTCTCTCCAACCCTATGCTGAATTGACGAAGCTTAAACTTAACAATGTTACGCAGGTAATATACGATTCAATGTATTTACAGTGTATAAATAGTTGAGGTTCAGTCGATTTTATTGCATCGAGGGTTTTTTGTTCTTAATTTTTTATTTTTGCCGGTCCATTTTACAACTCGCATCTCGTAGTACAGTTTCTAGGGTTCCATTGCAGACGACGACCCAGGTACGATGTCGTATTGCTGTATGTATATACTT